ATTCTTTTTGTTTACATAGATTTTATAGTTTAGGCGACTTAGTTTTAGTTGCAGTAGCTATAGTTGTTTTTTTTCTTCATTTATTTTATATTCAAAAAAATCAAAAGATTTCACAAAACTTTGTCGAGTAGGTAGGCATAGCCGCTATTCCACTATTTGACATCTTAATATTGCTTTTGAAATTTTTTACAATATTAGTTAGATAGTGATTGGTAGGCAAGCTAACATTTAACTTGTTGTATGCAATATGCACCCAAGAGATGTTGTTTTTTTCTCAAATGTATATATAATCAGTATACAATAACAAATAAAGAAATGATGTTTACCTGCTAGGGAAAACCCACTCAAAAAAAAATAAATAAATAATGGTATCAGCCCAATTATAGAAAATATATATTGTTAACAATAGGATCAGGTATAGGAACAGGATCAGTACAGGTTACGTGATGTGACATGATGCATCAGTTCATGCATCAATGTGGAGAGAAAAGTTTAGAAAATTTGTTAAAGATTTGCATGACATGATATTAGATTGGTAAACGTGTCTTGGCTAATATAAATATAAGTAAAGTTATATAATAGGCAAAAAGAGTAGTGATAGTGATAGTTAATTGCAATATAATTGTATAACCAAACTTGTATTTGTGCAATGATAATTAATAAACTTATCTTATTGAGATACTTGTCACCTAAAGAATCCAGTAATAGCCAATATCAAGTCTATTGGTAAAGGATTGTGCCTGAGGAACAAGTAAGAAGAAGGAAGTTAGAGAATTGTTGTGCCAACAAGTACCTTTGGTATTGTAAGCGACACAACCTCTACGTACCAGCAAACAGCAAGCCTAGTTCTGAAGTGATGACAGACTTGTCAGTACAGTCAACAATATATAATTTTAAATTAAATATACTTACTATATGTTAATTAATAATTCTGATATAATTATAGTTCTGAAAATTGGAATTAAACAGATTCATATAGACTTGTATAAGATTCAAAACATTATTAAAAATAATGGTGGAATTAAATTAAATTGAATTATTAAGATTCTTAAATATAATATATTTTTTAAAAATATTTAAATTTAATTTTATCACATGCATAATTACTACTTTAATATATTTTCTTTTATAAAATATTAAATATATGTCTTACTTGATATTGCATATTTGAATAGTATATAAATAATTTTATCATATATTTTTTAAATTTATCTTTTATATTCTTTTATATAAATATAAAGATTTTTTTTATTGTTTTGCTTTATAATTTTAATTAAAGGACTAATATCTCAAGACAAAATAAATAAAGATAATTTTTTTCTTTTTTCTATTCAAGGGTTTTTTAAAAAATTTATTTATTATAATAAGTAATAGATTAATATATATACAGTATATTTATATATTTTGTATATTAATATTAAATATATAACTATATGATATATTACTTTTTTAATAAAAAATTATAAGATATAAAAAATTACAAATATAATAAATATTTGATAACTCTTTCTACTAATTTTCTTGCCAATACAAAAAACAGATATTCCAAAGAAATTTTATATTTCCTTATAATAAAGTCTATTTATTTTCTTTAACAATATTAATATCTGATGACTTTAGTCTCTCTTCTTTTGTTTGTTTCTTTCTTTAATATAAACTTCATATATTTTAATAAGTAAATATAAGAAAAACCTACCTACAAAGTCAAAGGCAAGAACACTTTGTTAGAAAGAAGAACCTGTAGAAAAAACATGTTCCTCTTTTTTTTCAGAGGTTCAAGACTTTTAAAACTTATCTTTCATCTTTCTTAAGTTTTTTTCTTATCTTTTTAAGCATGTATACTTTTTCTGGTTTTTCTAAAAAATTTTGCCTACCTCAATTTGATCCTGAATTTTAGTTACACTGAAATCTTTGAATAATAATTGGTTTGGATTTTGAACTGGTTGATCTATATATAGCAAGAAATGTAAACAAGATACATAACTCCTATATGCCCTATTTTGCACAATACAAAATCTGATGATTTCAATGAATATGGTGAAAAAAGCAAGGTAATAAGATGTCCTTTTTGTTAAGAAGTGTTATGGTATTTCCCCCTTCTCTTTTGAACTGGTTTCTTTTCTTTTCAAGATCAAAAGAAGTCTTATCCCAATCCAGTAACAAGCTTTTTCTATTGTTTATTATCTCAAAAATAGTTGAAGAAAGGTGTCTTAAAACTATTCACCAGTTAAATGAAGCTATAAATTCTTGAAGATTTGGCAGAAAGAGAAATTGTCAATTGAAATATCAACCCTCTCTAAAAATTAGAAATCTTCAAGTATAAAGTTTCAAGAAATACTTTTCTGGAAATATCCTTAAATGTTTTGGTCAATAATGAAATAATGAAAATTAAATGATTTGTTCAGCTGCAGGTGGTAGTAAAGAATTTATCTTGATGAACCAAAGTTAATATTGGAGAGTTTTTATTTATTGAAACAAACTTTTCAACTATTTTTTCAATTTCTCTTTATTTTTTTAAAAAATAAAATTTTTTTACCTCTTAATATCACAGGTTTATATTGGAGTGACAGTCTGAATATAGGCTGACTATAATTTTTCTCAATGCCAAGGAGTGGTCTTGGAAAAGAAGTGATTTTATCATTTCTTATAATCACACTTAGAGAGTTAAATAACTTATTGACAGGTGTTCTGTATTTGCACAGTTTGGCTCTAGTATATGGCCTTAGAGTTTAATGTATTATTGTTTTATTTATATGAAAAATTAATAAACACAGCAAATTGCAGTCTGATTAGAGGCAAAAAAAAATAATAATAAGACATGTTTTATTTTAACAATAAAATATCTGTATATTAATTATTTTTATAAAATATTTATATTATATAATATAAACTATAATATATGATATTTAAAATTCTAATTAAATTAAAATAATTATTTATAACTAATAAAATACTAATGGATTTACAAATTTTTTTAAACTCTTTCCTATCTATCCCAAATTTCTTTATTAGAAAGTTTAATAAAATAACCAAAAAATTATTTCCACTTCAAATAATCTATATTCAAAAAATATCAAGAACATCCAAAACAGCAAGTTACAAAAGGTATAAATATTTTAAAGTTAATTCTTTAATTAATTATATAGAAAAAAGAAAAAAAACCAACTTCTTGTATCCAAAAGGATACAAATCAAACTCTCTAACTTACAGTTAGATCTCAGGAAGCCTTAATCTACTGTCACTCCTATAGCCAGGCTAGTATCAGATTAATTAATAAATTTGATTTATATTTGTTTTTATTGTATACTAATCAATTAATAAAACAGATTGATTATATATATTTTTTATAAATAAAATATAAGTAACTGAAAATGCAATAAGATTATAAAAATTGTTGTCAAATGATTTAAAACGTATAACATCTATTATATTTTATATTTTATTACTCTTATAATGATGCTCAAAAGCATCCTGTAATTCTTATTATACCGTAGTTCATAACCGAAGAAATAGTATTTCTAGTAACTTGTTTTTTTAATAAGATTTAAAATGTTAGACTCCGCACCGCAAGGACGGTTGAACTATTTATCCCACAGTAAACTAATGTGATTTGAATACATTCTGCGTTATAAATAACGCCGAGATGAAGCTAAGTCCACCCATTGGAATAATAGCAATAAAAGCTTTTCGCAGAGCCTCTATATATCCATGAATTGCCACTGCCCTTACATCAGGCGGTAGTAAGTTAACCGCTGACGGACTTTGCTTCAGTATCTCGACCGTAACATTATATTGGAGTAATGTCTGGCCAATTGACCCCAGACTTTCATTCAATCCATTTGAAAATACCGTACTGACTATTGCAACTCCAAATATTGCACCCACTAGATTTTGAGTAAAAAGTAATATTAGTATTTGGTGAAAATAATCATCTGATGAAAAGAAAAACTCACTTGTTCTGAAGAAACTCAAAAGAGCAGTTACGATTGCAACATCATCGTAAGAAACAATTGCTTGAGCAGCCAAGAGGGTTGTCTGCATAATTAGACCAACACCAATTCCTGGAAGAAACATGACACCAATTTGTTCTCCTCGGCTTGTAAATTCTGTAAATCTACTAACTAATCCAGCACCTATGGCCATGAATGCGCCACCTAACATACAGATAAGACGATATGAAAACTTGTCTGTCCTTGATATTATTTGACCCGACAAAATCGCTGCAATAACTACTCCCATAACGTACGGAACTAATTCTAAACCAGATTGGGTGGCTTTAAATAGTATGATGGATGATTAGTTCCCTGACTTTTGAAATGTAAAATAAACTGAAAATGAATAATTACCAGTATCATTTCGGACAACTTGATAATACTAAAAGGCATATAAACAAGCAGAAATCGGTCAGGTTGTAAATAAGGTGCATTTATATATATGTTAAGACTTGTAAAAAAAAATTTTGCTAATGACCCAACAGCACGACTATATACAAGTTCTACTGTAAAAATAAATTAATAAATATGCTTACCACAGGATACCTGCAATGTGAGATAATGAGAGATGAAATTTAATTGTTGCAAAAAAAAAATAAATAAATAAAAAACAAGAAATTTTTAACCCTTTTTAACTTACCAATATACTCCTGAAAAAAATCCCATTCCTATTTTTTTTTTTTTTTTTGATAATAAAAAATATTATGTTTAATAATTAATTAATATTTCCATGTTGTTGTCAGTTTTAGTTACCTTGAAAGAAGTTAACAAAATAACATGCTATTACAGTAGAGTTTTTGAATACGTGGCTGTTTGTTGAATAAAGGTTAAAATCACATATATCTAACGAGAGTACGATAACTATTATTACATACTAACCCTGGCGCTATTGGTTCAACTGAAACATAACCTTGAACATAGATGAACGCTAGATATCCGATGACTCCAACACAAAGAAGACTGATAATAATAGCACTATTCCAGGCATACTCATTCCCTCCCCAATTCAGCGACACTGAATATGTGGGTTGGAGAAAAGTAACAATTATTATTTCTATTTGCCAGGGTTTGGTCAATGAAACAGAGAAACCAAAAGTAATGCTTACACAAAACAGCGACAGTAGAACCTATCAATATTGTAGCACCAAAATAATCAATTCGGGCTAATTTTTTTCGAAAGGAGCCTTTTTTATGTGGGAACTTGAGAAAGATAATAACTATGATAATCGTAATAGCGCCGAGAGGAAGGTTGATGAAGAAAGCCCATCTGTGAAAATGGAATTTAAAATTATATTATTGTCAACAGAATAGCCGCAAGGAAAATTTCAGAACAAACCTCCAGGTCACATGATCAGTGAAGGCGCCACCGAGGAGGGGCCCTGAAAATTTTAACGGGATTAAAACTTCATCATGGCACAAGATAAATTAAAATGTAAAAGTCGCTCACCAGCCAAAGACGCCAAACCAAATGCTGCTCCTACTAGTCCCTGGTATTTTCCACGATCCTCCAAAGGGACAATATCCGAGATAATAATCAAGGCTAGACTAATAAAAATATGCCTTTTATATATCTGCAGAAATGTAACTGAGAAGCATTTATTATTCAGCATACCTCAGAATGCCGCCTGCACCTAATCCGCTTATTGCACGAAACGTAATTAAAACGGTCTAAGAAAAAATTGTTATTGCAATGTTACGATACGCACGTGACAATAAAGACATTAAACCCACCATATTTGACGCAAGTCCACATAAAAGCGACCCAAGTTCAAACACAAGGATCGCAAAAAGTAACATTTCTTTTCGCCCAAAAATGTTGCATAGTTTTCCATATAATGGTTGAAATGACGTTTCTCTATAAACAAAAAATTTAAGAAATCTCTTCGAACACGCGAAATTTCATGAAATATAATTCTTACGTTAAAAGGTATGCAGTTGCAACCCATGAAATTTTATCGAGAGATTTAAATTCCGTCGCTATTTTGGGACTAAATTAAAAATAGGATAAGATTACGGTAAGAATTAATGATTTCGATTTTAATATACACCTCATTAAAATTCTTACAGTGCCGTCGCAACTATAGTCTGATCGAGGGCTGATAGGAAAACACCACAAACAAGACTTTGAACATAACTTGATTAGTATAATAATTTACAAAAAAATTTTTGCGCTTATAAAACTTACCCAAACATTACAAGTTGTAGTTCTATTTTTCCTAATTTTACTTTAACTTTGTCTTCCGATTTAACTTCTGTTGGTTTATATTCGTCTGTAATTTCTATGTTAAATTCCTCCTTTTTATCAAAAGAAGGCGAATTTTCGATTACTGTATTAGATTCAGAACTCATTTCTGTATCTAAGGTCACATCAGATTGTTCGATTTTCTCTGAAGTCATAATTGTACGCGTGGATATTTTCGTGAAACTTGCGAGATGCTACAAGTAAACGTTCAATAAAAAATCCTCAATGAATACTGCGGTCTGTGAAATCGAGAATCGATTACTTCAAACGAAAATTTTGTCGTCGATTTAAGTAGTTTTCCGGAACATATTTACCCATTACGTAGTTCCCCGGAATGTATTTATCCATTATGGATAAAAATTAATCCAACCCATTCTACCTCTACACGACTTTCAGTAGTGAACACCTTATTACAAATATTACAAATATTACGAATATTACAAATCAAATCTTTTTTTTCAATTAACCGTTGTGCGTGGTGAAACGGTCTAGTGCATTATCAATTTCAAATATGGTGATGTATACATGTTCTTTGGATCAGGGCCGATTAAGATCTTCACGATTTGTTCAGTTTGTTATAACAAACTATCCCAAAATAAATTCTATTTATTTATTTAATTACATAAAGAAACCAAACTTAGAAATCGCGGGTATTGTATATACGTATATTTATTTATATAGAAAATTTTTACATACCAAAAAAACATTTATTAATAAGATCCACAGTATATAAGAATTTACAAGCAAAAAAATTAATACTGTAATCAGTATTGACAAATTAATAAAATTATATCAAGTATTATAATATTATAATTTATTTATATGACTCAAATAATAATTAAAAATTTAAATAATATTTGATAAAACTCTTTTTATTGATTTTTTGAATTATCATTTCAAAGTGATATCCAATAATTACTATATAATTTCTACTTTATATAACCTGTATACTTTTTTAAAATATTTTATTGATAAAATAAAAAAATTTTTTTATCTTTTTGTTCTTGTTTTGGTGTTTATTCTTTAATTAAAATGTTATTTTATTTTAAAAATGCAAAGAAATCTTTTTTTATAATAAATAATTCAAAAAAATTTGTTATTACTTAAACTTGAACATGTTAACTTTTTAAAAAATTTGTTTATATTAATTCAATTTTAATTTTATTAACTAATTTAAATTGATTAAAATTGATTAAACAAGATTTTGAATTAAATAATAAGTATATATAAATAAAACAAATAAACAAAAAATATCTTTTTTTATAAAAAATTTAATATTTTTATATATTTTTTATTTTTTAAAGTATTTTTAACTAATAAAATAAAATTTGTTTATTTTAAATATTAAAATATTTTTTATAATTATTATTTTATTATTATTATTATTATTATTTTAATAGATAAACATCATTTCTTTATTTGATTTGTATATTAAAAGTATATATTATAAAAGAAACAACTTCTCTTATAAGTAGATACAATAAGTTTAATACTAGCTTGTTTACAGAAATCAAATAATTAATATTGAAAATAAATTTTAAAACAATATACTATATCTTGTTAAGAGATACTAAATAGTTATATATACTTATTTTTTTTTTATAGGTAAACATTATTTCTTTATTTAATTTATATAATGATAGATATATATTGTAAAAGAAACAACATCTCTTATATGTAATAGTACAATTAATTAAATGCTAACCTGCCTATAGTAACCTTTAGACTAATATTGAAAAGAAATTTTAAAACAATATATCTTATCAAGAGATTTTGAACAACTATAATTATCTACTCAATATTAGATAAAAGGAAATTAAGATAATCTGTAATTAATTTGAAAATATATTTAGTAAAATTAAATCTACTTTAGATATAAGAATCGATGACTATAGTAGATATATCTATGATAGTTAATGTTAAGGTAAAAAAGTTATTGGAAGATTTGAGTTTGGCTAGATTTTTGATTACTTGTTTTAATATATTGTTATAAAAATTATTGTTTTATTTGATACCAGTAAGACAAGAAGTGTTTGTTATAATGCAGTAGTGTATTCAGACTGGTTTGTATAGATAAGTTAAGGCCTTTGTTGAGACTTTAACCCAGTTGGAGAAATTAATTTTAGAGAAAATATTGTCAGTAATATCACATGTCAGCTCTGCTAACTGTTAGGTATATATGATTAGCTTGTGGTCACTATTGGAGTAAAAAATGTTATTAATAATATTGATAAGTTGAATAATATCTTCTGGTACTAATAAATATTTGAAGACATATTGAATATTCTTAGTATATAGATTATACTAAAAACAATATGAATTAAGATATTGTTTTGAATATAATTTTGAATATTTTCTATTATAAAAAGAGTTCCTAAGAGCAATTTAATTCTGAAGATAATAAAATTGCTATTCATATTAGCTCTGAAGCTTTTTATTTTTTGGTTAAATTTTGTTAATAATCTTGAGACCATGGAGTTTATAGTGTAATGGTGATTGGCAAGTCTGTCGCTAATGGAAAGTTAAATTCGCATAACGATAGTAAGTGTTTATGGTGAGGTGGAATTGATTATGACCAAAAGATGATAACTTGGCTTCCTTTATTTAATACTAGGGTTCCGAAAAAGTACCGAACTGGTATCAAACTGGTATCAAAATGGTACTGATCTATAGTAAATTTAATATATGGGTTGT